TCTTCCTGCCCCTTTCCCTTCATTCTCTCCTTTCTTAGGCTCCTCCTTATGGCAGCTGTTACCAATTTCAGCAATTTTCTTCTGGCAAATTGAAGGCTCCAGGTGACAAAGGGAGTTGGCTGTATCCTCCTGGAGAATGAGATAGCCTGGGTCCTAATCCCACCCCACCCCTTCTCCCAGACAGGGTGGTTAGGGCTGCCGGCACTCCCCGGGTGGGCATCCACAAGCCTCCCTACCCCGTCGTGTGTGCAAACAGGTCCAGCTCAGAAACCCTAGCTGAAAGGGAGTCCAGATCAGTCCTCACTTCATTCTCAGCTCATCTGTTTCTCCAGGACCACCAAGATTTTATTATTTGCATGATCCTCGGCACAAATACCCATTCTGGCTCTTAAAATTACAGGAAGAGAAGGAAATAGGAGGCATCCATGCGTGCGTGTGCACAAACACATGCACGCGTGCACAAACACACACACAACGCTGAAGAGTTTGGTACGGAACTAACAGAGGACACCTCCATCAGTAGACCACACCCATGGTGCCTGGGGAGAGGGAGGATCTCTTGATCCCTGGTTAAACCATTTATGTAAAAAGGAAGTCCACACATGAGCACTGACTTCCTCCAACCCTGCAAAGCAGAAAATGAATTAACGACACTCAGGTGAAATGTGCCTGTCCGTTTACCCTTAATAACAATGTGATGGTTTTGTTTTGTTTGTTTTATATTCCCTTATTGTTCAGAAAGAAGAGCCAGAGTTAAGTAATTGTCCCCCTTCTCTGACTGTCAATTTCAGTGTGGACACGGGGATTCCCCCAGAAAAAGAAACAACTCAACACCTGCCTTCAGGGAGCTGACAATCTAAGGAAGGGAGGCCAACCTTGGATAGATAGGTCTACAGATAAGGATGAGAGTTTAAAATCTGAAGCAGGTACTCAAGTGGTCTCCTAGAAGTCCCTTTCAAGAAAAGAAAGGAGACAGGGGGGTGAAAAGAAAACAACTTCAAATCTCCAGCTGTCCTGAAAAGAACCTCTCTTTAAAGAGCATGACACCTGTGTGGGATGTATTGTCCGACAGAGGAGCACCTTCTGTTTTATTTGTGGTTGTTCGGAATAGTGTTTGCTCCCTTTGGGAAGGAAGAGGACCTCTCCACCATATCCCAGGAATAAAAATATTGGGGGAACTCACTCACGTACTTCAGTCCCCTCCCCTCCCCAAGCCTGTCTTGTTTTCCTAAGCAATGGTCAGGAATGTGCTGGGCGGGGGCAGACTGGCCCTCAGCCCCGAGCCCAGGCAGCCCCAGTCACGGTCCCAGGCTGGCCTTTCACCCCAGAGCTCTCCCTGCTGCTCTTATTAAGCAGCAAAATGTTTCAATATGTTGAGCTTTGGGGGAGGGACAGAGAGAAAAATCGGGATATTGTTGAGAAGGAAATCATGAATAACCCTGCCGCCAGTCTTCATACCCCCCACGTGGGGAGATCTGGGTGATAAGTGTGCTTTCTCCAGAAATGGAATCCTAGCAATTGCTTTTGGTCAGAAATTTCCAGAGCCAGTTGAGGGGTGGGGAGTGGGGAGGCGGAGAAGAGGGAGCAGGTACCAAGTTAATTTTCTCAGTGTCCAGAACCAAAGCAGTCAGGGGTCTGGGTACCCAAGAAAGAACGGACAGGGGAAAGCTTGAGAAACTGAGGCTAATTCTCAGAGGTAACAAAGCTATGGTTTTGTTCTCACAAACTGACACACTCTCTACCCTTACCTGTCACCCCCTGCTTCCCCCTACTTTGCCCCCCCCCGCAACACACACACCCAAGTTCAGCTACTCTGGTCCCTGCCAAGTGTTCTGGGCAGAAGCCTGGTGCGCAGCTCCTGGTTACTGGAGACTCAGGAGAAGCAAAGTCATGGAAGGGTGTGGAAACCACCCACCCAGGAGGGAGCACACAGGCAACTCATCAGCATGGCAAGGCCCAACTGTTTTGTGGAGAATGGCCCTGGATTGGGCAACTAAAACAGCGAATGTGGACAGGGACTCAGAAATCTGAGCCCCATTCAAGACCAGGTCTTGAAGTGAAGAAATGAGCCAGATTCCAAAATTTTATTAAAAAAACACAAACTCGAGGACCCAGAAACGACTCCTGAGTGAGGGTCTTGTTGAATGTTTTAAAATTGGAACTCAATAATAGGGTTGCTTCTGACATTTGCAAATCTCCTAGCTCTTATAGATGATGCCTGGAAAATGTGGGTCAGAAAAGGATGTATTCTAGGGGAGGTCCAAATAAAGGGAAGAGTCACCTGTAAGTAAGCCGAACTTAAGGGCTTGAAAGAGCCTAGAGGATTTCCATCATATTGTTTAAGTCTGAGAAATAATTATTTGCACAGCAACCATTTAAACTAATCACATAAAAGTAGGCCTGGGTCTCAATGTCTCCTCTTGGCTTTACATTTGTGATATGTGTGTGGTTCCCAGTGTTCCTTGACATTTCCTAGCACCGCCGTGAGGTTTCTGGAAAAGCAGCGAGGGGCAGATGGGTGGCTGTCTATTAGAACAATTCATCAGACAGCAGTTGAAATATTGATAAGAAAACGGAAATCAAAATAAAAGACGGGAAAAGAGAGAGGAAGGGGGAGTGGGATGAAGAGAGGCATCAGGGAGGAAAGCTGCAGGGCTGCAGGGCGCACAGACCAAGGAGTCGTTTCTACACCCTCCCACCCCCCCAGCTCAAGTAGGGACTGAGGCTGGCTGGGTGGATACGCTACAGAGAAAGGCACATTTTGATTCCCGGCAGCCAGCAGGTTTAATTGGGCACCAAGGATCGGGGGACTCTGGGCGCAGAGAACTAGCACTCAGACCTCGAACATCCTGGAGTTGCTGGAGTTCCGCTCCTGCTGGCTGAACAGGAAAGGGTGTCTAAGGTGAGTGTTCATGTGTGCGTGATCCCTGGGGGAATGCAGGGGTCGGGGGTGGTGCCTCTCTCGCCAACGGCTACATGCTCCAGTTGCAGCAGAGAAATGGGAGGCTTTCTGGGACTTTTTCTTTCTCTCATTCTCTCCGGGGAGCTTTCTTTTCTCTCCTCTTCCCCCCCTCCCTCTCACTTCCCTTGCAAATTTCACTCCAACTTTCAAAGAAAATGGGGGACACTCTCAGCAAGGACCCCGGGATAGAGGCAGGGAATGGGAATCTAGGAGCCCAAAGGAACATACCTGGTCCCTGAACTCGTGTATGTGTGTTGTGGCTTCAGGAGCCAAAAAGCTGGAATTTGTTAGTGGAGAGAAAAAGTGCTTTATCAGAAACACATTGGCTGCGGGAGAAGCTGCACATTGCCACGTTAAAGATGGTTTAAGAGAAGGAAGGGGAGAGGGAAGAGACAGCCGCTGGACTTGGCAAGGCAGGGAGAGACTCACACAGAGGCACCTGGCATCCTAGGGTGGTTTTTGCAACCGCCAGCCCAAATTTTCAGACTCAGACACCATCTCCTCTGCCTCTAGAAATAAGGCTGTGTCACTCTGCCGTAAAACTGTTTTCTTTAAGAAGCAGGGGCTGGGGGAAAGGGCCTCCCTAGACCTCCAGAAGCTTCTGCCCAAGTCTTCCTCCCCAAGCCAGTAACAGGGAAGAGGGGGGCAGCTGGACACTGGAGGAGCCCTAGGGTCCTAGGGGAGCCAGGCAGAAGATCTGTGCCCTGAGGGCCCGAGCTTGGCAGCTCCGTAAATATCTGGTTCCCTGGGGTCTTGGGCTGCATCCGTGGGGAGACCTACCTCTATCCCGGCAGCGTTCTCTCTTCTGGCTCGGACGGGCCCCCGGCCCCGGTGTCCGCAGGTGTGAAGCCACCCAGGCCCGGGGGAAATGGGTGTCTCCGATTGTGGGTAGGGGAGGGTTACGGGGCTGTGGGAAAGAGACCCAGTGGTGTCAGCTGGCTCTCAACCTTCACCATCTCGTAGCCCGAGGTCTGGAGGCAGAGGCGCAGGGCAGGTGCCCAGTACGCAACCATTCAGATCCTCGCTAGCTGGCCCAGGAGGATCCGAGCCTCCCAACTCTCGCGTGCTCTCCCTTTGCGTTCCTCCTCCATCACCTACCCCCACCCCACTCCCCCACCGTCTCACCCGTGTGGTACTGTCGGTGACTGAGGTTTCTCCTACCCAGATTGGTTCTTGGGCCTTCCCGACCCTTCCTCACCAACCGAGGATGTTTCAGACAGTCCCAGACACATCGTCTTACGTCAAGGTAAGACATGACAGCGTCTTTAAACAGGTAATGACCCCCCACCCCCTCCCCACGCCGCCACTCTGCCACCCAGGCCTGTGGTCCCTCCATCCCCTTTCCCGGGTCAGCGGGTGGATCTGGAGCCCGGGGCGCTCCCAACCAGATGAGGGTGGCACAGACCCTCGGGAACCCTTGACTGAGGAGGCACGCTCTCGGGCCGGTACTGTTTGGAAGACTGGAAGTGGGTGAGCCTGGTGAAGGCTGGGCAGGGAACGGAGAGCCAGTGTCCGATCCCAGTGGGTCTTGCCCTCGCGCCGCGGGCGCTCAGCAGGTTTCAAGTTAAGGGTCTGCGTGTACTTGGGAGTGTGCATGTGAGCCCGTGGGCGTGTGTGCGCGGGTGTGTGAATGCGACGCTCTCCTCCCACCGGTTCGACACCCCGTCGGTCCTCAAGCCCACCTTCCTCGGCCCCACCCGCCCGTCCAAAGCGCAGATTGCTATATTTGACAACATATAGAACGTTGGTTTTTTTTTTTTTTTTTCACTCACAACAGTTCCCAAGAATGTAAACAAACCGAGGCCGGGACATCTGGGTTACACGTTTAAAGGAAAATCCGCCGGCGGGGCGGGGCCGAGGGTGCCCGGGGTAGGGACTCCGGCGCGACCTCCCTCCTTCCGGGTAGCAGCCGGGAGCCGGGACTGTCGGAGCCTTCCCTAGTTCCGAGGAGGAGGGGCCCACCGCGCTTCTGCAAACCCACCCGTCTGGTCCTGACCCCGCCCCCTTCTCCCTGAAGCTCCGCCCCCGAGGGGGCTCCCCACCCCCACCTGCGTGCCCGCGCCGAGCTCCCTCCTGCGTCCGCGAATGCCACCGAAGTGTGGGACCGTCTGCCGGCACGTGGCCACCGCGATGGGGTGCGACTCTCAGGAAGCGCCACTTTTGCGTTCGGCCCTCGTCTCATTTCTCTAAAGGGAAATTTGTTGAGACAGGGTAGCAAGGCCCCCATCCCCACCCCCTCCCGAGGTCTAAAGGAGTTTTATAGTCACTTTGGGGAGGACAGGTCCTGGAGCCTAGGCGCGGGTAAGAGGTGTTTAATCTGTAATGAATGAACGAAAAATAAGTGAATCAATGTATCGACAATCAATCAATGGATGGCTGGACAGACGGCTCCCAGGAGGTGGTGGAGCGTACAGTGGGAGACTAAAGCGCGCTGGGGTTCGCGGCGTCCGGGTGTCCGGAGAGGTTAGGCAGGCCGTGACCCCTCCCACCCCGCCACTCCCAGTACTCCGAGCTAAGGGAGCTCTCACTTCCAGCTCTGCCCCAAAGGCTGCAAGTGGCCCCGGGGTGGGGAGGGGCAGTCTCTCTCCCACCCACAGCCCTCCCACCCCCACCCCCAACCCCTGTCTGCACACACCCGCAGACCCAAAACCTCGGGATGTCGAACCCCAGAGGAGCAAGTTGGAGCCCAGGAGACTGACCCACGCCGAGAGTCAGAGAGAAAGCAAACCGGCCCAGGAGATCAGAGAGGTCCGGAGTGGGCAGCAGGGAGAGAGGCGGCAGTCTAGGAGCTGTGGGCAGCCAAAGGAGCCGCTCGCCGCAGGAGCTCTTTTCAAGGGGCAAAAAATGGATTTTTCAGCAGCCACAAAGTTTGTATTGTTGCACAAAGGGGTGCATTGATGGCTGCGAAAGGTCTGCGTAGCAGGGACAATCTTGGGTCTGTTCCTCCGGCTCCCTACATCGACCATTTGCCAGAGGGGCACAAACAGTTCCCTGCTGCCAAGCCCCTGCCATTCTGCGTCAGGAACCTCCGAGGTTGTTGACAAACACCGTGCGGGCCCAGGCGCCCAGGCCCGGAGCCTGGAGCCCAGCCGGGCTGCAGCAGCCAAGGGTGCCCACTCCACCCGGCAGCGATCTGGGTTCTGAGAACCCACAGAGTGCTCTGGGAGTTTCCGCAGGGGAGCGGTGAGGGCGGGTCTGAGGCTGGAAAGAGCAAAGGAAAGGGAGAGAGGGAACGGGGTGACTCTTTAGGACAATGACATCGCAGTAGGTGAATAATGATGGTAACGTTAAGGTAGCCCTTACCTTTGCCAGGCCCTGTTCTAAATATTGCATTTGTACTAACTCAATATTAATAACAACCCTAGGAGGTAAGCTATTTTGCAGATGAGAAACTGAGGTATTGAGAGGTTAAGGTAACACAGCTTGTAAGGGATGGGGCCAAAATACAAATAATAAGGGCAAAACTGTGCTGTCAGGCAAGTTCCAGACACTCATTTCAGGTTTACGACAGCCCTTTGAGGGTTAGGTCCTATTACAACACCAATGTACAGATTGAGGCACAGAGAGGTTAAGGAACTTGTTCGAGGCCACAGAGCTGGTCCATGCAGAGCGGGAATTCAAACCCTATGTCCCTCAGTGAGACTTTCGACCTGGATATTCCACTTGCAGATATGGGGATTCATCCTGCCCCCGCACTGTGCAAATCCCTTGTCAATCCCAGCGCGGGGAGCACAACCCGGAAAGCCCCTCGCCCACCCCACGAAGACTGGCTGAGTCCTCGACTTTCCCTCTTTGCGAGTCTTCCAGACTCCTTGCTCCCGCTCCCTCACCACGTAGCCTGCTGATTCAGCCCATGCTGCATTCTGGAGGAGACACCCCCCCACACACAAAACCAGACCAAAGGAGGCTTATAGCCCCAGAATGTTCACAGCGACACGGCTCAGGGGCAGCATCTGGCCGGCAGGTCTTGCAGCGGCATTTCAAGGACGCAGGTCTGTACTTAGAATAAATGCCGTTTGGGGCTGACGGAGATCCGAGAGGCTGAAATGCTCCCGTCCCCGCCCCAGGCCCCGGTCTAGGCGCCGCCGCTGGGTGAGAGTCCCGGCACCTGGCTGGTTTCTACCTCTTGTCAGCCTGCGCTCTCTGCGCTCTCGGACTCCCTCGGGATTTCCTCGTCGACGCCGCGTGGTCTGGGGACCCGGCCCGGAGCGCCTGGGGCTCGGGGCGCAGAGACCCTCCCCCAGCCGGGCCAGCCGACCCCCGGCCCTCCCGCCGCCGCGGCCTCCCACGTAGCGTTTTGAACCCGCTTGGCGCTAAGGCAAGAACGAGCGTGGGGAGCGGGCAGGGCGAGCAGAGGCTCTAAATCTTCCTTCAATCTCTGAGTAGATGAAGTCTGAGAAACAAATTCAAAGCAGGCGCGCCTGCAGAGCCTTCCTGCAGAAATATTCCCCGGCATTCAAGCGCATCCAGGGGCGGCTCGAGCTGCCTTGTTTGGCTAAGGTCAGACGAGACTCGAGTTCTCCAATAAAAATAAATCTCAAATTAATTATGGCCTCGAGCGAGGGGCCAGACACTTGAAGCTGCAGTTGTGCAGTCTGGAGTTTTGGCGCTCGCTCGCCCGTCCCTCCCCCGCGCTCCCGCCTCTCCCCCCACGCCCCCCCCCATCCCCCCGTTGCCAGCTCGAATACCAGCCGAGGCCGCGCTGGACCCGAGGGGCGGGAGAGGAGGGAGGACGGAGGGGAAAGGATCCGCCCGAGACGCTCTGCCAGGCCTGGCATCTTTCGGGGTTTCAAGTGACGGAGCAGTCCCCGGGGCTGGAGGCACCCCGGGGACCCGGCTCCGATTGTCGCGTCCTCCCACCCCCAACCTGGGCTGGGACCAAAGAAGCCCAGGAAGTCGCGTCTGGAAAGTCTTGACCGGGTCAAAAGGGCTGACTTTGAGCGAGCCAAGACACGTTTCACCCCGCCGCACCCCTCCCGGGGGGAAGCAGGACTTCCGCATCTTTGAAAATACTGTCAAGTGCGGACGGTGCGAGGCAAGTCGTCCGACCAAAGTTCCAGCGAAAATGCTCGATATCCAAATATTTCCTAAATATTCGCCCTCCATGTGCATGCTTTCTGTACGTGACCCTAGGCTTAGAAATGTGTCATGAGTTGTTTTGTGGGTCCCCCAATTGGTAGCTTTTGTTTTAAAAGCTGGCCGGGCTTCCTTGGCTGCGAGAGCTCCCCGACTTGAAAGCCAGTCGGGGCTGGTGGAATGGGCGCTGATGGTCGCAGGCACCAGCTCCTGGGCACCAGCCCTGCCCAGTCTGGGAAAGGCAGGCAGGACAGTCTGGTGAGCCAGGAAAGAGGGTGTGTGCAAGTGTGTGGGCTGGGGTAACCAGTCCCCAGCTAAGCTAAAAGAAGGGAGAGGGAGAGAGAAAGGGGAGGGAAAGTGGGGAGAAGGGGAGGGGTTGCACCTCCCCAACTCAAAGACAGTTTTCATTTGTAGCGGGCCTTACCACAGGCTCTCTATCAATTTGTCTCAATGCAAACATTCAAAATATTCTCTTTGGCTCCTCGTGAAAACAATGTGAGCTGCCAGGATCAAACCATCTTTCCAGATGTCTGGTGGTAACCACATGAAACAGGGCAGACTTGTTTACTGTTGTGTTTGGTTAGGGCTTTTTCCCCCTTCGGGATTTAAAATAGAAGCAGCAGCAGGAGTTGAGCTTCAAACCCAGAGTTACATAAGTGGGGCAAACTTGCCCACCAGCATGTCAATATGGGGTGAAGGGAGCCTCAAATCCCTCAGAGAGCTGTTGTTCCCAGTTGGGGGGGGTTCTTTCTAGGTGGAGGACCTCGTGAATGGACAGGAGCTCCTCACGGAGGGGCTGGTAAATAGCAAAAGGCATGGCGTCAGTGCTAGTCAATGAGTCACAAAGGGGTGACAGTTATGCCAATGTCACCCTCTCCCCCCATCTTCAAAATTATGAAATAGCCGTAGCTTTGGTTTTCCCGGGAGAAACAGAAAGTGCTATTGAGTTCCACAGCTAAAACAGGAGGGCAAGTCCTCATTTTAATGTAGTTTCCCACTGAGCAACTCTCAATGGGAGAGGAAGCTCCTGCTGAAAGGAGTTGGGGGTGCTAGGGGTGTGAGGGTGAATGCCCTGATCAGTGCAGTGAAGATAAGAATATGCTCTTGGCCAGGCCTCATAGGAGTAGGGAAGAGAAACCTAGCCAATATTTCTGCCATGGAGGTGCCTTCTCCAGCACTAGGAGGAGTATGGAAGGAAGGGGGAGCGTCTGGCTGGTGTGGGGTGGCCATTAACAACCTCAGTGCTTGCCCAGGACCAGGAAGGGGGCCTCCCGGTGGTGGAGTTGAAATCCCTTCTGCCTGAAAGAGGGGCAGTGTGGCTGGGGGTGCAGGGTTTCTGGCCAGGTCTGGGTGGGAAGCGGTCTCCCCGCACCCTCCTGAAAGCCCTGTTGTCGTTTGAAGGTCGGCAGAGTCTGGGCTGAAAAGGAAACAATTTGGGGTTTGAAAGGATGTAATTCATTCTTCCTTTCCCTTTAACCTCTTTCCTCTCTGGAAAGCATGTGGAAAAGCTGAAGGGAAGAGGGAGAGGGCAGGCGGCCGGCCGAGGGAAGGAAAGGGTTAAGCCTGATTTCTTTTAATTGAACTCCAGAACTGGTGGCCCCAGGCAAAGGGGGGGGGACTGACCCCGCTAGCGGTAACCAGATGTGGCGGTCCCAGGGGAGCCCCGGAGCAGACCCCTGGATTGAGAAGCAGACAGGAGGTGGGGGGGGTCGGCCCGGCCCCCATCCCACCCCCCACCCCACCCCCACCCCACTCCCCCATAAGCACACCGAGTCTCAATTGCTGGCAGGCTGCACCCGCCACTCCAGGTCTGGTCACGTTCAGACCCGCGTCTGTATTCGAACCCAAAATTGGAGCTGAATTGATGAGACTAATTTCGAGAGGGGGTGGGAGGAGGGAGGGAGGGAGGCGAGCTAGCTTTCTGGCTCAATTGCTCCAGAAGAAATAAAGAATTGATAAGTCACCTTTTTCGCCGCTGTGGACACCCTTTTGAATTTTTTTTTTTTTTTTCTTTCCAATTGACTCGGATCTCCTCTGGATTTTTTTTTTCCTCCTTCCCCGGGTGGACTCTTAAATAAAAGTGAAAAAGTCCAAAGCGTGGTCTGGAGAGCGTGGAAAAGGTAACCTGTCTTGGAGGTTGGGGAGAAGGGAGTCAGGCCGAGAGCGCCCGGGGGTGGGGTGGGGGTCCCCTCACTGCGCCTGGACTCCTGAGGCTGCCCCAACTGGAGCGTTCGGCGGCACTGCGGGGGGACGGGGGGAGGTCTCCGGATGGCGGGGACCGACAAGGCGGGCCGAGGGCCGGCTGGCCTCCTGGCCGGGTGGGGATGGTGGTCCCGAGCACTGACCCCGGGGGCTCACCCGGGGGGAAGTCTGAGTCTGTGCGGCGATCTTGCGTGCTGCGCTCTGGAGACCTGCGGACCAGCGTGGAGGGAACGTCCTGCGGTAGTGTAGGTTTCTCGGCGCTCGGAGTAGCACTGCATAGGCGGCTCTGGCCGAGCGCCGGGACTTGGGCCATCCGGTCCAGGTAAAGTGCGAGGGGTCTGACCCTAGAAGGCGCGGATAGGTGGCCTAGGGTGCCGCCGGTCCCGGCCCCGGGAGGGCGCCGGGAGCTCTCCAGGAGCAAAGGGCCGAGGCGCGCTGTCCGGGGGCGCCCTTCTGCTAACAATGCGCTGGGAGCCTAGTCCGCGCCCCCGACGGTGGGATCCTTCCGAAACCGCCCCGAGTCCGCGTCGACCGGTGAACCGCTCCGAGTCTGCCGCCACTCGGCAGCCCAGGGCCCGAGTGGAAAAATTCCCACTGGATGCATTTTTTTAATGGTTGGTTTGCGTCGGTCTGCGTCCCGATCTTCCCCGGCAGTAGGCTCCAAGTTATCCCCAGCCCGAGTAAACTCTCCCCCCCGCCCCCCCAATAAGTTTGACTCCGGCTGGAAAAAGCATTAATGAACGTATCTGTGGGAAGAAACGGAAAGTGAATGAGTCAGGAGGGCCACCTTCGGCCAAAGGCCCCGGGAAAAGGAAGGAGGCCAGAAAGACGTTTGGTTTTGGACTTTTGGGGAAGGGGGTGGGGGTGGGGGTGCAGACTGCGGGAATCAGGGCGCGGGCGCCGGGCGTGGACCCCGGCATTGTTCCCAGCTCGCTCTTATCTCCCAGGAGCAAGTATCCTGTGTGCGCAGCGCATGAATGTATCTGGGCATCTCCGGGTATATTTATATAGTGTGTGTGATGCGAAAAGCAGGACCAGCAGAGGGGAGGAAGAGGGGGTGTGGGGGGAGGGAAGACGAGGGAGAGCAGAGGGGAGAGGAGAGGAGAGCGCGAGACAGAGAGAGAGAGAGAGAGAGAGAGAGAGAGAGAGATAGGACTTCCTCCCCGATTCGCAAAGTGAAGTCACTTCCCAAAATTAGCTGAAAAAAAGTTTCATCCGGTTAACTGTCTCTTTTTCGCTCCGCTACAACAACAAACGTGCACAGGGGAGCGAGGGCAGGGCGCTCGTGGGGGGCACGCAGGGAGGGCCCAGGGCGCCAGGGAGGCCGCGCCGGGCTAATCCGAAGGGGCTGCGAGGTCAGGCTGTAACCGGGTCAATGTGTGGAATATTGGGGGGCTCGGCTGCAGACTTGGCCAAATGGACGGGACTATTAAGGTAAGCGATGGGGCAGTGGGCGCGGGAGCGGCGGGGCCGGCCGGGGCGGCGAGGCAGCGGGCAGGCTTGGCGCGGGGCGCCGGGGTCCCGGAAGACGTGGCCACTCTCCCTTCCTTCCGTGCCCCGGCTTCGCGCCGTCTCCTCCCGCGCTCGGGTGGCGACTCTCACTCGCGGGGGCGACCCTCCGGGCTCACCACAGACAGCGATCTCCCCCGCACCCCTTGTCGCAAAGCCGCGTCCGGCCCCCCACCTACGCGCTGCGGGCCGGGCTGCGGGCGGGGGTCCGCGGGAAACCTAGGGACCTCGGGCGCGGATCCAAGCCTGGGGCCGGACACCTCCGGGTCCACCACTCCCACCCGGCAAGCTGGGCGCCTTGGCCCCGGCGCTGGGCACTCGCCTGGCGGCCGGCTTCCTCTTACCCGAGGCCGAAGGCGACGGGGGAGGGAGCGGCAGCCGCCACCCGCTCGGGTCCCCCGGCCTGGAGGGCCCTGGGGCGGGCAAATGGACGGGTTGCAGGAGGCTCGGGGTGCAAGTGAGTGTGCTTGGGGGTCTGTCTGAGCGGGCTCCTCGGATGGAAGTCCCTGTTTACATGTCAGCGCGGGCTGGTTTCCCTTCCTCTGGGTACTTGTGTTGCTGAGCTCTCGGCGCTCCAGAGCGGCCGGCTTCCCGGGACTGACGGGCCGGCCTCTGCGCTCCGCGGGCAGGGGATCTCTCTGCAGCCTCGGTCGGCGCCGCTGCCCCGCGCCCGGCCCCGGCTCTCCGCGCCCGGCCCCGGCTCTTCGCGCCCAGGCGTGCGCAGGCTCCAGCGCAAGGACACCACCGTCCTCCCCAAGAGGGTCCCGCGCCCTGCAGAGCCGCTTCTCCTGCGGTGGCCGGGTCTGAGCCGACGGCCCCGGCGACCGCCCTGCCAAATCCACCCCCCCCTACCCCGCCCTCACCCCACACCTCACGCCAGGCTCTAAGTTGCAAAATGCAGCCCAGAGGGATGGTTGAGGGTCTGGGTTTCGTGTTAGACTTCAGGAGTGTTGATTGCCTTCTCCTTCTGGAAGCGGGAAGTGGGGCCGCGAGCCGAGAGGAGGGGCACCCCCTAAAGTGACTGACCTTAGAGGACCGAGAGGAATGAATGGGACCTGGGGTCGGCTTCCAGGCTGTCCCGCAACATCAAGCAGGAGTCAGTCTGGAAAAACTATTAGGCTGGTGAGGTGGGGAGTGGCAGAACCCGCCATTCCCCAGAACCCAAAGGAATCAACTCCTCGCTCAGGGCTGAGTTAAGAGGAGAGGAAGATGTTGTGCTTGGAGAATTTAGGAGATTTTTATCATTTGGGTGAAGTAGTGGTTTTTATTTTCTAAGGTTTTTTTCTGAAAGTTTGAAACATGCTGACTGAGGTAAAAGGCACCAACAGAAGGAACTTGAAAATCTGGAGATGAGATAACTGATTGTACTGAGTTAAGGGGAGCCAGTGCGAGTCTGGGTTGGTCCAATTTAAAGTGTGTGGGGGTGAGGAGTGTTCCTATGGCGAGGGTGGAGGTGGCCACCGGTCATTTATGCTTGTTTCTCTTCACGCTGGTGTGTGCCTGCAAGTGTTTGTGTATCCCTGGTTTGGTAAAAAGGATGCTCAACTCTAGAAAACTCCCCCTCATTAGGACACTTACCACTTACCCAGAGGCAGTCCCTCTGATCCGGAAGGGTGGTAAGATGGCTCCGGGGTCTTGATGTGGACACCCTAAGGAGAAGTGAAGCAATATCTCCATGATGCTCAGACCTCTAAGGCCCTGAGCAAATGGAGGAAGCTGTGGTCTGTGTACCCAGGATGTGCTAACCTCTTTAGAGACACACACAAGGATTGGCATGGCAGGCAGCGAGAACAGGCTTAGGAGAGGCCCCTGGTCCTTCACGCTAAGGATGGAGGTGAAGGTCTTCTTTTTCAGGTGGGTGGTGGGAGCCTCTGAGTCCCTCCAAACCCTCCTCAGGAGCACCTTTGTCTCTCATCCAGGTGACCTGGTTCTGCAGACCCACCCACAGTGAGAGTAGTGGCTTCTCAAGTCCTGAGAAGGGACTGCAGTCCCCAAAATGCTGAAGGATTGAGTTGTTAGTGTATACTTCGGTATTTAAATTGTGTGAAAGCCACACAATTTCCTGTTCCTGTGTGACCTTTGGATCTTGAGGTTCCTAGACCCTATTCCTGCAAGGGTTCAAACACTGTGTTTGGAGGGCACAGTGGACAAGGGGAGGCCAGTGGATTTCTAGCCTCCATGTGAGAATGCACAGTCCATTGAACCTGTTTGAACTTCAAAATCTTTGTACAAATGAGACAGTGGGACTAAATTACCTCTACAGCATATCTTTCCAATCTTCTGTTCCTAAAATATCATGTTTATATGAATTTCTAAGGACCTGTACCTGCATGTCCACGAAATCCAGTTCTATACAGATTGAGGTCTGTAGACAGAAATCTAGAATGTGTGTCCCCAGTTTGAGTGACCTTGACAAATCATCTTTGAGTAATTCTGGAATGTGATTTTTATGCACCTGCATGTTTCTTCCTCAAATATAAGGCATGTCTATATTTCAAAATACGTGGGTCTCCACACTGCGGAGGTATTTGGTCCAGGATGCCAGGGAAGTCTGGATTGCTTTGCAGAAGGTTTTTATTCTGTGCATAATTTGCACAACTCATTTTGATTTCAAAATCTTAATCTTGCTGCCCTTGTTATAAGTCCTTCCATGTCATGTTCTCTCCTCCTTTCCAAGAATGTCTCCTGGGAAGGCTCTGAGCATCACGTTGGGAATACCAAAATTTTCAGGAGCCGTTCCACTCTTCTTTGGCCACAGACAAGTTAACCTGCGATATTAAACAACACCTACCCCACCCCTGCTCCCCACAGTTGATATTATCAGTGTTGAAAATCACGTGATCCTGGTTGCTGCTTAAGAGATGACCTGGTTTCAAAACCTGCATCTTAGTTCTAGGCAGTCTTCCATTGAATCTAGTTACTCCATCTATGAAAGCTTGATTCAATGCACATGGTACCATTAAAGACGGGGAAACAATCAGAGAAGATGCAAACGTGGTGAATGAAACAGGGAAATGCACAGCGGACTCGAAGTCAGAAAGCCTGAGTTCATTCTCAGCTGCTACTTAGTTGCCGTGTGCCCTATAGCAAGGCCCTTCAGCTCCTTAAATGTCAGTTTTCTCATCTGTAAAATGGGGCCAAAATACCCCCTTGCCAGAAATCACAGTGAGGATTAAATAAAGTCTGGTACCTTAGTGGAATGCACATTTGTTGAATTTCTCCTTGGGGATAGGGGCTTGTGGGGATCGATTGGTCAGAACATTAGATCACAGGTCTGGATGTCCCATAATACATGTTTTATTAATTCAACCAATATTGATTATGTGCCTATTATGTTCCAAGGCTCTGCTTTCTGTGTTGAGAATAAAGCAGGTTAGCAAAACCCTGCTAGAACGTATACTCTTGTAGAGGGGGCAGACACCTAAGTAAATAATTGTGTGTCCAGGGCTGATGCACCTCCTGAAGAGCAAGGAGGCAGGTTATGGGATAAAAGGTGATGTGGTTCTATCAGCCCCAATGACCAGGGAGGATGCTTCAGATAAACTCACAATGGAGCAGAGATACTATCAGTCTTCATCCTTTGCCTTGGGAAATGGCAGCACTCTTCAATCCCCTAAATGATGGGAGAACAAAATCGGAAGGTAGGTGGAGGTCCCCGCTGGGTTCTGTAAGCCGGTAGAGAGTGTGTGTGGCAGGAGTGTGTGTGAGGCCAGGAGGGTAGGTTATGGCAGACAGGACAGTGCTTTCCAGCCAGGAAACTTCCGGATGGTATCTGAGTAGAAACCAGCAGAGTGAGGAACAATGGGAACAAAGACTCTACGTCTGTCCTCAAAAAAGGATGCTGCCTTGACTTTGAAGAGTGAATTGCCTCCCCCTTCACCAACACCACCTTTTAACCCTCCTATGGCCTGGCGTCATGAGAACTCCAGGAAAGACAGCACTTTGTCAGTTTCTCTGTCCCCATGACCACATAGAATTGCTTCCCTCAGTTAGTTACCAAATGGTGAATCCTGTTTCCTTGGCGAATAAATCCCACAAAAATCTTCCTTCCACTTCTCCTTCCATTCAAAGTCAAGTTCATAGGTTTGCAACTTGAGTACTTTTGAGATTATTGAACTCAATATTCTCATTCTGTGGGTGGGGAAACTGAGGCCCAGTTATTTAATGAATGACCTAAGATCACACAGCTAACTATTGACAGAGTCAAGAGAATTCAGGGATCCTAACCCTCAGGCTAGTGTTCTTTCCACCATACCGTGAAGATTTCATTTGCTTTCGTTACAATACCATGAATTATAGAATCCTGGAGATCATGTGTGTGAGAGACAGAGGCAGAGAGAGAGAAAGACAGAGAGAGAAGACTTTAAAAGAAAAACCATGAGGAATCTGGCACTTTGAACTAAAGACATATCTGTTATTTAATGAAAAATATATTCTTACCATCCTGAATTATGTCCATACTTAAAAAAAAATTCCAAATTCTCAAATAGGATTTTTACATGGCTGTTTTCCAAAATAAATCCTACTTTTCCTATAGACAAACAAGGTCTCTGTTACCGGGAGACAACAAAAAAATACAGGATTTTGCTTAAATAGCCAACAGGTCTCTCCACAGACTGGGGGAAGGTGGGCTGAATTCCCATTTCAGTTCCTTTAATAACGAATATTTGATGATTTAAGCAAAATATATTCAGTGCATTATAATATAACTTATAGACCCATCTTTCAGACTGTGTAGTAAGTAGGTCTTAAATAACAACTGCATTAAATAAGATTTCAGATTTCAATGTCTGCTTCTGTTTGGAGTTAACCAGTTAACTTGGCATTTGGTTTTAAAAAGTGATTGATTTAAACCAAGTCTATTTTCTAGAACTGTAACATTAGTCTAATGCTAGTATTGAGTTGTCCCAGCAAAAAAAAAAAAA